AAAGATGTTGGCGTGCACTGAGGGTTTCAAATTCATTCACCCCATCCCGGAATGTCACTGTGTGAGCGTAGTTGGATAGTAACTGCAACGCCGTCAGTGGCACCTCCGCCGCCTTTTTCCACGAGAACCGATGCTCCTCAAGAGCAAGAAGAAAACTAAATCCCATCGACATCATGGTTGCGGCAAGTTCGTGGTGACGCTGCAAAAACCATGATAGCACCACGGAGGACGTGTTGGGCTGATGCAACAAATCCTTTCCTGTGTAAAACAAAAAACAGTTTTCCAAGGGAAACAATCGCACCTTGACAAAGTCCATAGTTCCGGAAACTACATGGCAACGCTCTTCTTCCTCTTCTCGAAGCGTTGAAGATTTCGTACCTGCCGTTTTGATCAACTCCTCCGTGTAAGAAAGAAAAGAAGTCAAAAGAGCTGGACTAATGTCCACAGCAGCGTTCACTGTGAGTTCGGTATAAGCCATTTGTGAAAACGGTAAAATATTATCTGTTGTTATTGGCATTGCATTGTGATCTTGCTGCGTTTTCTGTAGCGTATTTAAATCTGCTTCTCTGGGTAGTGGAAGGGAGACTTCCGTCTTCTGTCTGTATCCATTTTCCACCTCACCAGAGGCGAAGAAAGAAGACCCGTGCGTGCCAAAGTCTGCTGCGAGAGAACCGCCGTCCTCGTCATCGAGGGTGACACCAAAATCGGCTGTCCCACTGGTAGACGTGCGAAAGGCAGAATTGAGCGAAGACGCAGCGCACATGTACGCCGGCCCGCTTTTCCCCTTTGCAACCCCCTCGGCCACACTCTCAAAGAAGCCATGAACCGCCGCTTTATTGGGCGACCGCATTCGAATAAAATCAGAAAAAACCATTTTTATATATGTCCCTTCCTTCCTTCTTTCTTTCTTTCCTTCCTTCCTTTTTTTTTTTCTTTTTTTTCTTTTTTTCTTTTCTTTTCTTTTCTTTTCTTTTCTTTTTTTTCCCACTTCACACACCCTCCGCAATATGAAAGCTAAATCGATGTGTCAAGTTGATTTCTCCACTAAAAACAAATAAAACAAATTGAAAAAAATAAAAATAAAAAAAAAAAAAAAAGGGGGGCAGTAAAATTTTCGGAAAGCGTGGCAAGGCACATATGCATGTGTAAATATCAATATATAAATATTTGTACATTTGCGTGCGTCCTCCACTCAATTATCCGCTGAGCACCACTCCCGCCATCGCCATCAAGAAAAATCAGTAAAGACAAAAATAAATAAATAATAAAAAAAAAAAAAAGAGAAAATAAAAGAAAGACAGTCGCAAACACGCACATCGGCTCGGATGTATCCAAAAACGGCCGGGGAAAAAAACCGTGAAACAGCTGCGCACTGAACTGGAGGGGGGAAAAAAGAAAAGAAAGAAAAGAAAAAAAAAAAAAAAGAAGAATGTGCCCATGCAGCTTTAAAAATGCATCGGTAAAGAACCGTCCACGCAACAAATTCCTTTACATCTCTCTTCTTCTCCACATATTTTACTCAACCTCACCGATCCGCTTTATTTATTTTTTTTTTTTTTTTTGATCCCATCCCCATTGTTCAATGGGAAACAAAGGCACTGCACGTCACACAGCACAGCCACGTGCCCACTAAATCCATTAACACCTGCACAATCGGTGCGGCATGTTCAATATTGATATCTATGTAATGCAATACATGTGGTAATGTTGCGCCAACCAGAACGGAGATAAACACAATGAGAAAGATAGAAAGGGAAAGCGCCATCACAAGTGCAAAACCTCGGTTCCCCCCCCCTCTTTTATTGTTGGAAAAGTGGAAGCAGTACTCGACGACCGAATGGAATATGTCGCATTGTGGTCATTATCACCATCAAACCAGAGGAAAAAGATCACCCTCAGTGCTCCAATACACATAAGAAAAAAGCCACAACAGAAGGCCACAATTAACTCGTAGCGCAAAAAGAAACAGAGAGATAATACCGCAGATCGACGAACTTCCCGACCAGCGCTACTAATATCTGTATTCAATCTTTTCCGACGACCCCATAGCAACACTTTCTGTAGACGTTCCAAACATGGAAAACAAATCAAAAACGAATCCCATTTCGACAAATGCAAAAAAGAAAGGGCATAAGATGGTTTGAGTAGCAAGGGGGAACGAGGTCTCTCCGGTGCCAAACTTTCTCCTGAAATGTCTTCTGTGTTTCCTTGTGGAAACTGACCCTTACTATTAATGCACTCACGGGACGCAAGAATAGCGGTGATAGCCGAAACCGCTGCCTGGTTGCCTGCGTTCCCCCCAGCCCCTACAATCATGCTCATGAAAAGAACCACTACTATGTGATTCTTTACAAGTTCCTCATACCGCTGCAACACCAATTGCGAACCAGACTGCAGGGCAAGTAAGGCCGCAAGCAGTAGAAATCGGTTTAACGCCATAGTGTAGGTGGATGCTTTCAAGAATTCCCCCAATAAGCATCGAAACGAAACTTTGCCGCTGAAGACACTTTTTCCACTAACCGTCGACGTTCTTTTGCCCCTTCCTGCATAACTGTCCTCCTCCCTCGACAACGCTAAGGCACCGCAATCCCGACCAAAGACACGCCCAAGCTTCTCCAATGCCAGGGAACTTTTGTCCTCACGACTCCCGGCAATTCCATGTAAGCCAAAATAAGTGAGCATGTGGCCGCCACTTTTCCACACACCACACGTTACGGACTCTCAGAACAAGCCAAGTAAAAAAAAAAAGAAAAAAAATCGTTCGTTGAGTTGTGCGGCCGCAGACACACGCACACAAAAAAAAAAAAAGAAAACAAAAAAAGGAGGATTCAAACAAAAAATACATACGCCATGAACAATAATAACCACAAGGGGGGGGAAAAAAGGGATTAGTCATATAAATGTATATAAATGTATGTATTTGTATTGCTAGGCCTGACACCTCAAACGCTCGCAATAATTCCCGTCCACAGCCACGCAATCAACTGGACGCTAAAAAAAAAAAAAAAAAAAACAGGGAAAGTGCGCAAGGCAACATCGATATGTGTGTGGGCAACGAAGAGAATGGAATGACCACCTTCGAATAGGCCAACAAATAGAAAGTGGGAAAGAACACGCAGACACACAGACAAAGTAGGAGGGAAAAAAAAAAGAAAAAGAAAAAGAGAAAGTAACAAAGGAAATCAAATAAGGAAAGTTAGCCCTCTTTGAAAACGCATACATTCATCGTGGGGCAGAACTATGCCAACTCTAAGCTTCCTTCCCTACAAATAACAGCCCCATCTAAACCCCACATACTCTACCACGTGCATACGTAAGCAAAAAAAAAAAAGAAATTTGTTTTGCGTGATTGCACAAACACATTAAAAAGGCACGCATGATTAGGCTGAGCCCACTCTGATAAAGATGGTGTGCAACACCTCGCTCCTCTCCACAACAACGGGCACCATTTTGCCCACAATTAAACGAGACACCTCGCGCTGGAACTGCCGAAGACTTGTCACGCGCTTGTAATTTATTTTTTTAATAAAGTCATGTGGTTTTATTCCAGCCAGCGCGGCAGGCCCTCCTACATTCACAACCAACACACCACCGTTATGTCGGGAGGGAACACCATTAATCATGACACTATCCGTAGCTTCTATGCCAATCACTGGCCGACCAGCCCCACTCTCTGTACTGTGGGTTCTACTGCTGCGTGTCGATGAAGCGATGCGGCGGGATGCTTTTTCCTCTGGCGTGTGCCTCGAGTCCAATTCGTTTGTGTCCTCTATAGTACTGTGTCCATTTTTACTCGGACTCGTCATTTTTTGCATATCTACAGTGCTCAGTAACTCTCCCAGTTTTTCTCGCCATTTATTGAGGGAAAACAGAAACTGGGGTGCGAGAGTGCTCAAGGTTGTGGGGAGACTCGTTGGCAAGTATATGCTGGAAGAAAGAAGAATAAAGTCATTCTTAATGGATGCCCCAACGCCACCGCCACACATTTCACGCCCCAGTAATGCTCCCTCCATCAAAAACTCGTAGACACGCAGTCGTAAAACCGGGTCGTGTGGAATGTTTGTCATGAGGGTAGAATAAATATAGAGCCGCTCTGTTGTTGCATCAAAGGTTACTATTAAATTGTACTGCCCGTCAACACTTATGACACAAGTATTGTTATTATCAAACTCTAGCGTGTTCTCCAGGCCAAGGTCCCTCCCCATGCAAACCAGGTTGTCAATGGCATTTTCTCGCGCATTATACACGTCATTACCGCCATGAGCCAACGCAAAATTATCCCTGCCAGGCAACATCATTTTCACCACATTTTCGGCAGCCCTTGGCGGTCGTGGCCTGTTCTGGTATGAGTCTTCAAACTGGGCGTTTGCAGTGGCATTTTCTTCACTTTTTATTGGGCCAGACGGATGCCGGGCATCACTCTGCCTGTATGATTGTTTCTGATTCAGTTGCCATTGCTGGTTTGGGGGATTGTTGTTGTTTATTTCCTGGGGTTTCCCCCATGCAACATTCTTATCCTCCGGCGTCGCAACAGGCAAAGAAAATGGATCATTACCAGACCACTCACCTCTTCTCATTCCCTCGTGCGTCAACTCGGGTGGTGGCGGTCTACCCACACGTTCATGGTACAACAGTCGGTTTTGGTGTGACACAAGCCGGCTTAACTCCAGCTCCCTCCTATCGCGCTCCGCGGCAAGTATCTGTTGCTCTATTTCAATCTCCTTCTTGCGAATATTTACCTCACGCTCCTTTGCGCGCTGCTCGTACTCCTCCCGTTCCTTCGCCAGACGCTCCTTCTCTGCCTCGTACTCTGCCCGTTCTTGTTCTAACGACGCCCTGCGTCGCTCGTTGTCAAGTTTTTGCAGAGCGACTGCCCGAGTGGCTTCCTCTTCCGCCTTGAGTTGTTCGCGTCGTGCCGCTAAGTCCGCCGCACGCCGAGCCGCACGCTGTGCTTCCCTCTCTCGCAACTGAGTCAGCCGCCGTTTTTGCTTCTCGGCAACTTCCTCCTGCAGACGGAGCCTTGCCAGCTCCCGCTCTGCCTTTTCCTTTTCCCGCGC